CAAATTCTGCATGGCTTCTTCTTCTAGAGAATACAAAGAAAAGTAATGACATGAGCATGACACATTTAAAAATAATAGGCAACTGGGGCTAGAGGGGTGGCTCAGTGACTAAGGACATTGTCTTCTCTTGCAGAAGGCCAAGGTTTGGTCCCCAGCATCCACATGGCAGCTCACAAGCATCTGTAACTCCAATTACCAGGTACCCAACACCCTCTTTCTGGCTCTGACAGGCACTGCACGCATATGGTGCACATATATACATGCAGGCAAAACAAACAAAAAATATAAATAAATCTTTAAAACTTTCTTTAGGGGACTGGAGAGAAGCTTAGTGGTTAAGAGCACTGACTGCTTTTGCAGAAGACTTGGGTTTGATTCCAGCACTCATATGGTGGCTAACACCCATCTTAACTCCAGTTCCAAGGGATCCTATGTCCTCTTCTGACCTCTGCAGGCAACGCATAACATAGGTGCACTTACACACATGCAAGCAATGAACTCATACACATAAAATAAAAATAATAAATAAAAAAATTTTTTAAACTTTCTTTAAAAATAAGCAAATGTTCAGAAACAGGACTAAATCCTACTATGGGTAAAACAAAGGAATGTGTTGTATTCTCTTATAGTGTTCAACATGAAATCAATTTAAAAAAATCAAGTTAAACTTTGAAAGGATTACTATCACCTTGCTTAGTTCTATATTAAAGTCACAGAAGAATGTTCAATAACTTCCATTAAAATCTTTCAAAAATGAAAGATTGTAAAATGTTTTCTTGTAAAACATTTTTCATAGTAATGAAAAACTTTTAGAGACAATATTACTAAAGTTGCTTTTATCTATAATGCAATAAGCCAGTGTTGGACACCTACTGTGTGCTGAGGATTCCAGAGACCATAGGAATGGCAAAACTATGGAATGTATTAAATAGGCTGCATATCTTTTTATTGTATATGCCTGTGTGTGCACATCTGTGTGTATTTATGTAGACATGACCGCAGTCCCTGCAGAGGCCAAAAGAGGGCATCAGGTCCCCTGGAGCTGGAATTACAGGGGGTTGTGAGATAGTTGATGTGAGTCATGTGAATCAAACCACGGGCTTCTGGGAGAGCAGCAAGTACTCATAACCACTGAGCCATCTCTCCAAGGTCCCATAGCTAGGCTGAATTGGAAGTGGGCACGTTTGACCACATCTGAAATACTTTCAAAAACAAGATATATTTAACATTATCTATTTGCTAACGATAAAGAGCATTGTGTACTGCACAAAAGAGTCCCTTAAGGAGCAGCATGTAAGCCTGGAGGACTCAAAGCACTGCTGATCTGAGGAATCGCATTGATGCTTCACTGCAACCCCAGCTGCTGCTCAGTAAGTGAGTACTGAGTCCTGAACCTGACTGGATCCATTTCCTAAGTATGTGGCAGTTATGGCTACTGTTTACAGACATGCTTATTTTCCTAAAACATACCAACACTGACTCAGAGCTCAGCTGTGGGCAGGTGTGGTGATGGATACCTGTCCTGGCTGCACTTAGGAGGCTGAGACAGGAGGACAGTTACAAGTTCAAGGTCAGCCTGAGCTATATATGAAGTGACAGATCAAACTAGAGTACACTGGGAAATCTTGTCAAGAAAGAAAGATGGGAGGGAAGGAAGGAAGGAAGGAAGGAAGGAAGGCAGGAAGGAAGGAAGGAAGGAAGGAAGGCAGGCAGGCAGGCAGGAAGGAAGGAAGGAAGGAAGGAAGGAAGGAAGGAAGGAAGGGAAAAATAAATGTGGGACTCTATGCTTGGAGTCGGAATCTATAGCAACAATCACGAAGGAAAGGCTGTGACTTGCAGTCAGTCCCCCGACAGCAAGGAAGAAACTCCAATGCATTCAAGGGAACATGCATCAATTTATTTCCAGTGTGTCCCCACAGGTTACAGGTCATCTTGCTCTGAAGGAACACTGTTCTGGATTCATTCATATACTGGGAATTCTCATTCACACTAACTGTCTGAATATTTACTTTCTGTTCATTTTTGTAGCATTTCAATCAACAATGTCATGAGATAAATTAAACCAAACATTTGATTCAGCCCTCTGACACATGTGATAGGTCTAGCCTGCAATACAACTCCAGTCTTCTTCACTATCAAAGAACCCTCCAATAAATACATCCTTAACAACTGTTTATAGATAAGGCTTCTAATCTCCAGCGACTCCAAAACACAGGCCCCATCTCCTTCTGTCCCTTAGTTCAACCACCCATCATTAATCTCAGATGCCTCTCAGCCTACTTCCTTCCCACAACTGGAACTCACTAAGAGCCCGACTTTCTACAGTGAAGGATCAGGTGTCTCAAAGCTCCACAGAGCACATGGCAGAGCAAATGTCTGTGGTCCAGGGCTCTGCTCCACTCTGCCTGAACAGTACCATCTGGCTGCAAGGCCAGCGACACCTGACTTTGCATTTTCCACTCCTATTCACAGAGAGTGCAATGAGTGCAGTGGAAGTCTCTGCCTTTCCATCCCAGGGGCTAATTGGCCCCACAGGGCTTATGGGAAATTCCACTAAAGAGACTGAAAACTAGCAGTGTGTTATTTGTAGAATTAAGTTTATATGCCAAATAAGGAAATACTTAAGCAAACAGTAAAGCAGGAAGAAAATAAAATCAACGCCAAGGATGCGTCCTTCACGCCCCCAGAAGAAAACAGACATACACATTCATTTCCGAAGAGGATACTGCTTTTAATTCACTGTTCTCTTTACTGAGGATCACTTAGCAGCTTAGGAACAATTTAGTACTAAAAGCACCAGGCAGTTGAAACACAGAATCAACAGGATGGATGGACCAAGTGCAATAATCTTTCTGCTCAGGATTTCACTGGCTTCAGTTAACCACATGTTGAGCCTCCCAGGGAGTAAGCATGGTAGCCTCAGGCACTCTCAGCTGCTCAGTAGGTCTGTCAGGCAATTGAGATGTTTATAAAACAAAATAAGATGGGTGTTACTGCTTCTGTAGCCCTAGCTACTGTAAACCTTCCCAGAAGAAGGCAGAAATCCACAGCAAGCTAAATTTACTCTTGCAGGATGAACCATGGAACTCGGAACATTCTAGACCTGGGAGAGAATTTCTTGTAATGCGCATTAATCCAGTTCCAGAAATCTCACAGAGGAAGTGACACACTTCAAAGATGCAGAGGAATAGGGCTGCATTTGAGGTCCATGCCCACTGGTATCCAGCTCTGCCAGATGACACAGTCCCCTCACTTCATTTGTAAGTGGGCAAAACCCTGGTCTCACCTGGTGCTGGAGCACCTTTAATTTGTCATAAAGGTAACAGCTCAGTCAAAGTATCCACCTTACATCTCAACGAAAATCAGCTGTTCCTATCTGTGTGTGTGTCAGGGTGCACATGTGTACGGGAGACCATGTGCACATGTATCCGCCTGTACAGGCAGAAGAAATCCCCCAGTGTCATTTCTCAGACACCACTTTTTATTTTCTTTTTTTGAGACCTTTTTGTTTACTGGTGTAGAACTCACCACGTAGACTAGATTAGCTGACCAGGAAACTTGGGCTCTACCCTTCTCCACTTCCCTAGTGCTACCACAAAAACCAGATTTTTTAAATGTGGGTGCTAAGGATGGAACTCAGGTCCACAAGACTCTACTAACTATGAGCTATCTCCTCAGTCTAGCTGAGACGTTTCTAAAAATACTTTTCAAAGACAGGGACTTGATTCTTGTATGTTTCCTTTCACCCCCCCCCCTTTTCAGTTTCCTTTCCTGCCTTATACACCCTTCTTAAAACACGAATCTCTGAGCGAGCCCTGGAGTAACACGGGTCGTAGATCACTGGAGCATTTACAAAGCCACGCCTGAGCCTCTGCCTCCATGGTCCAATTCACTCCAGACACAGGGCCTTTCTTCCTCTAAAAAGCCAAGATCCCTGACAGCCTAAAAGCCTTTACTCATATCCATCTTGTGCCCTTTTCTGGAATACCCGAAACATTTGCTCCTGCCCACTACTTTACCCTGTCACTAGCTGCGTCTTGCCATCGCTCAGGTCTCTGTTTAAGCAGGCAAGACTTCCTGTAGACAGCATTTGCTGATGCTCTGGACAGGATTGACTAATTAAACCCTCAAGAGCATCCTTTCACTTTCCCATGACCATCTTCAGATGTTCTGGATGGCTTCAGTGTCTTATCCACTAAGATTATAAGGGACACAGGAGCAAGGCTCATGTCTCTCTTGTTTACAGCTGTGTTCCTTAATCTTATCAAACACCAGGCTTACAAAGAGCGGGCAATCCATGAGAATGGTAAATATTTGCTGAATTAATTAACCATGGCTCTGATTCATTCCTGATGTAAAAACTGCTAAAAATTAGTGGAGCAATGTGCCCAACATTCCCAGTCAAGACAAACATCCTAGTTACAAGGACAAGGACTGTTCCACTCTATGAGGGAGGAAAGGCCACTCAGTGTGAAATGGGGATGTGAGAGAAGCTTGCATGAGGAGGGTTGCTCCCACAAGCAAAATTTAACTGGTCTATAACCAACTAACAGAAATGCAAAGGCTTTGTGTCAAACATATTTCAAGTTTTTCCCACAAAACATATTCATTATGAAAAATATAGCAAATAGTAAAAATTCTTTTTAAACGACTGCTGGAATTTTCAGCATAGCCTGTGCCCCATTTTTATTTTAGAGTAACGAAGCTTCTTGGAATTTTACTATAACCTGATCCTGTCTCCAAGTGTTAATTTCCTACCATTATTGTGGTGGAAGGCACCTACGAAAAACATATAGCCTTTTTCTCTACTCACTGAAGAAAACTATTTTTTTAACTTCCAGTATTTGTCATAAACTCTGTGCCAAAAAAAAAAAAAAGAAGTTTAAAATGACAGAGAGTATCTGAAAAGGTCATTCTAATTTAAGAACGGTTAGCGGTAAACCTAAGCCGCCGTTAACTATCAGAGGGTAACTGGAGAATTAAAGCAGAGTCGCACTTACTTTTGCTGCGCCTATTTGTTCTTTTCGAAATTTCTCAAGGGGCGCAATTAATACGTCGTTAGCGTTTTGAATCTGAAAGTAGAAAAGCACATACGTTAAATTCTACACTACTTCATGCCAGCAATCTGCCTCCTACATTCACCTTGCTCGAGGCAGGTTTTGCTCTCCTCTGCTCGGATCACGACATCTTGCATGTTACGTGGCATTTTCCCACCTGACAATACAACTACTTTACTGCATTATGTCCCTTGGTACTAACAATAACGTGGGAATATCAAAATGAGCACGTATTTACTGAAATCATAGTCTGAGTGTTTAAATTTCTTCTAGGATTTAACTAAGAAAAAAACACCTTGGAAATTAAATTCTCAAATGTCTTTAATTACACTAGTTTAATGTCACCAGTTTGAGTCCCCATCTAAAACGGAACCATACACAGCTCTTCCATTGCCACTAGGATGTTAGACTATCACAGCTGCAAAATAAATAGACTCATTTTCTCCTTCTTAATTAGATTTCTTGCACTTGGGATTTGCCTGAATGCTCTCATGATAGTTCCAACCTAGATATATAGTATCTGATTTCATTTCCACAAAGAATATCTTATCCCCATGTTCCAAATGGGGATTTATTAAACCTTAAAATAGATATCGCTTCTAATATGGATAGGGAAGGCTACTTACTACAAGAGAGAAGTAAGAAGCAAGCGAGGGCCAGGAAAATGGGTGCACAGAGAACAGTGTTTCTCGGGGTAGCACTGTGCTTAAAGAGAATCTTGATTAAAAACACAAAATGAAACACCATCCTCGGAAAACAACAAAGAAAAAAGGGGGCCTGGTGAACAAAATTAGCCATTTGTTCTCCCGTGATGATAACTCATATGATCTGTTCTCTAATGAAAGTTGATAAGTTGAGGAGGAAAAGCTATTTCTCAAGCACATTCCCTAAATGTGAGTTTCTTCTGTTAGTTTTTCACTAAGTATAAAATCATACGGCTTTTCTATAAGTTTAAAACTCATATCACATAAAAATGTCAACATGACAATTTGATTTTCACTAATTTATTTCCATCACTGTGTCTCATCTCTAGTCAAGTTTTATTTACTTATTTTGTAAAATCATTGCATGTGTGTGTGTGTGTGTGTGTAAATTTAATTGGGTGTTAGGAACGAAGTAGCAGATACAAGAAAGAATCTAAATACGACCAAAATATATTCTATGAAGTTCACAAAAATCCATTTTAAAAAAGGAAAAAATAATGTCAGTCAGATCCAGCGTCATCTGAATCTTAGCACCAAATTGACAACCCTGAGAGTCCTCAAGCCCAAACTTCTGAAAGTGTTCATGAAATCCACAGGAGAAATAAGTATATTTCAAAAAAATAAATCACTAACATGGATTTGGCCTGTGGCAGGGTCTCCATGCATGCATGTGTCTTCAGAGAACAGACTGAATGGTCCCAACAAAGCTCTGCAATTTCATAATCCCCCCCCCCAATTTAAAAATACAATCATCCAAACTAAAGAAAAATCAAATTCACATTAATTTAACAAAACAGTATGCATTCTGGGAGCTAACAGCAGCACGTAACCTTAACCTTGACCCTAAATTATTTTCATTAAACCATTATAACATGTGTGATGTTTCATGTCCAGATCCATGCTCCTTGCGTGAACAGTCAACAGTTGCTGTTTACAGTATGCTGATTTAAATTCAAGAGATTCAGATGGATATGCCAACATCCTGAGGGCACCGAATAGATTTCCAACCAGATTTGGTTGGTTCTGAGCCTGGTCTTTCCTTAGCCCTTTGGAATGCAGAGCTCTCATCTCTACACGCCTGTCAGTCATCCCTGTGAAGTTGTCCAATTCTGCTGTAATCCATCAGCAAAGCAAAGAAGGTGTTAAAACTGCCAGAGGCTTAGCAGTCACTGTTGCTCCTGCAGAGTAGAAGGACAGGACCGACGACAGAAAACCCTGAGTTAATGTACGAAAGCACGTGAGACAAAACCTTCCCTTTATGTGGTTAATATAGAGAAATATTATTTTGGCTCTCATAGAACTGTTTCTCCCCACATTTATGAAAAGATTTGATACAATTCCTCCTGGAAGGTATTACTTGAGAAGGAAAATCAGTTCACAGGCTTCAGGGAGATCTAAATCTGATAAAATCTGAGGAGATATTTTAGGAAAAATATAAAAGCAATCTTAATATTCTTGATGAATATTGGTGATAACTTAAGACAAAAATATCTTACATAGTAAGATATCTTACGTGGTTTATAACTATAATTAATTTATAATCCTTAGTTACTGCCTAGACCTTGAACTTAGTTTTATAGATAATGGCCTGTATTTAATATTTTAAAAATTCTTACCAGTGACTTCACTTATTTTCCTAAAAGAGAGGCAAATCAGATAGCATATAATCCTTTCTCTAGTCTCACATTTACCAAGCACAGATGCTTTAACTGTGGGGCCGGTTACATTAACCAAACAACAGATGCTTTAACTGTGGGGCCGGTTACATTAACCAAACTAAGTTTCCTGTTGCTTTTCTTTTGCTCTCTCAAGTGATTCTAATAAATAGCCACAAGAAAAGTCCCATGAATCATTCAAAAGCAATGGCCACAAACGCTTTCATTTGGTTAGAAGGGTCTCCATGTTGACAGAATGCAGTTTTCTATATAGCACAGATGTGCAAAGGGGTGACCGGTGCTTGTGTTTCACTGCTGAGAACCTTAACACAACTTGCTTGTCTAACAAAATAGTCACCGAATAAAAAGAATCTCAAAGATAATTTCCTTACACTTTTCCTCTTTCAATCTCTCTTTGTGTGGAATCTGGTTAAAATGCAAAGCTGTTCATACCCACCATGGTGCATCATTAGCTGATGATGGTATTTCATTATCCTGGGATTGATTTTCTATATAACAATAAGGTATCACTACCTCAAACTTTCAAAGAACAGAAACACCCAAAGTTCTGAAGCAAATACATGAAGATACTGGGTAACTAACCAAACAGATTCTGGAGAAAGCCAGCACAGATGCTGTTGACAGTGAGGAAACCTGGGTGTGTACTGCTCATTACAGAAACAAGTTCTTGTCAAGACAGCAACAGAGCCAATCTTACAAAGGAAGAGCATACAGGTACAGTATAAAGAGAGGACTGAACAGAATCTATATGGAAGACATCCTAGGTAAGAATGGATTCTTTTCTCATTGGGCACATAGAAGTGGGAAAAACCACATCAGGATTCTAATTTGGAATAATAAGTCAGGATCCCCACCTTTGCTTTGCCCAAACTCAAGACAGCTCTTCCTCCTCAGGGGCCTCTCACTCAGAAGGCCTGGTAAGGTCTGAGTGTCAGAGGGTTGAGTAGGGACTCATTCCTGGGTGCTGACCAATTTAACATTCCACAGTTACATCATCACGCAGTCCTTTTCCAGGTCATCAACCAAACCTACAGAACGTTTCTAAAATGGAACTCAAAGATCAAAACTCACATGAGGTGTGGAATGGAGGCACACGGGACAGGACTTGCCTTACATATAGTAAGTGATCAGATGGCAAAGATTAAGTGCTTTTTATTTTATGTTTTCTAACACCAGGAAACGACTATGAAAATCTTTGTCTTATCTTAGAAAAGGCTAGATAAGGGTATCGGGATTCCATAATCACCCATTTAATTCACACTTAACTGTAACTTGCTGCTTTAGCATCTGAGTGTTTTGGCTCCTGTCATTAAGGCCCAGCCCCTGGATCTCATCTGTTTAGCTCCAACTCAGACCTGAAACTATATTACATTCCATCTCTTTCTATTTTTACCAGTAATGATATCTTTGTCTTACAAGGAAATATTGAGAAAAAAAACTGAAGTCCATGGAGAATCAAGGCTGTGAATCTCATCTTTGTCAGAAGATAAGCAAAGCAACACTTGGGCTCTAGCCCCATGCCCTAGTTATAAATTAATCAACTCTCATCCTATCCCTGACACCACACAATACTGGTCAAATTATTCAAGTCAAGTCTCAGTCTCCTTTTCAGTATAATGAAGATGATGATATGCCTTCATTTTATAGCCTGCCTCTAATGATTAAATTTTTAAATTTATGTCTAACTATAAGTTTATTAGGAATATAAAGTATTAACTGCTTCCTATTTAATCCATTCTGTCAAGCAGGTCAATTGGGGTGCATCTAAGCATACATGTCAAACAAGTCTCTCTTTTCTAGAGAATATGACCAGTCCCAAAGAATGCAAGTCAAAAGGCCATGAAAGTTCTTAATAAAATCACATATCCTTATAGAGAATGTACTGAATGTATTAGGAATTTATTTAGAAGAACCAGAAAACCAGTCAAGCAATCAGAGAAGGAGGAGGAATGTAGACCGCAAATTTCATCTGTTCTCATCTTCTAATGCCATAATTCCAGGCTATACGAAAGGAAATTCAGTAAATGTGAGTTATTTGAACCCAAGATACTTACTTTAGGTTTTTCTTGTCCTACAGTTACTTTTGCTTCTTTCTTTCTTTTTTTTTTTTTTTTTTTTTTTTTTTTTTAGGGGGGGGTCC